TGGAGTATTCTGACTGTAGTTGAATTTTGTAGACATGTTTGCATCTTAATTGCATTATAACATCCTAGTGGAGTTTTAACTGCATTATGTGTCATCGGCAGTTACCAACTGCTTTGATGACACATTTGCTCGGCTTGTGTGTAGAGTAGGATGAAATGTCACTGTGTAACATATGAATGGAATATTCTATTAGCAACTCATAATTAAAAATATCTGAACATTGTGATTCATGTTAATGCAGTTACAGTTATTGCCAAAACCATGAAGATTTATCACTAGTGCATCACCTGGTCCCACAGAGACTTTTATCATGTATCAAAAAAGCTACCTGCTCAGGATTACTTCACAGTGGAAAGTGTAATTAATTAAGATCCAGAAATTATCTTTATGAGTCGATGAGGCTAAAATGAGACTGACTACTGGATTTAAATGTGTTGAGTGGCCAGAATCTTCAGATGTCGACGTTGCTCCATGTCTGCTGAATGTCAGCCTGTATATAAGCAGGAGTTTTGTTAGCCGTATCAATTTAAAAGGGCGTTAACAGCTTGTTCTGCTGGCCACATGTGAAGCATGTGTTTACTTTGAAGAAGTTGAACATTCAATGTTGTTGGTGAATGAGAAAGCAGACTAAACACATTGCTTGTGTAAGAGGGTTGACAACGATTCCTACTCTTATATGATTCTTTTTATAAGTAAAAACTTAAAACCACACATTATGAGCACAGCTTCTCTTTGGCTTTATATCCAGTTTCTAAAGTTATCTACTTTTAAATTCCGCCATTTGTTGTGTTCAACCATATTAATAAAAGAAAAACTGTTTTATAATGTATTTTTCTTCATATTCACAGAAGCTCAGATACAGTAGCAGGTAGGGGTTCAGTGTGTAGCCCAGGGCTAGTGCAACACAACAGATGGCTGTCACTGGGGTTGAATCTGTTACTGTTTGGTTCCAGGGTGTTCTCCTCGAGCACCAAACCACCCTGCCACCCAGTTTAGATTGTACTTTGCTGGCAGTCATTTTCTAAAGCAGATGGAAGGTGGCTGTAATTTCACGGGCTTGTATGTTAGAGAGCACACTGGGAGATCTGTCTGTACAATTTGTTCTGTTAATGTCCTGCTCATTTCCTCTGTAGCTGCCACTTATTGACAACAACATAACAAACGTGTCTATTCAGAAAACACTTTGGACAGGATTAAAATAAGTGTAAAGAGAACAAATAATTTGAAGGCAGATAAGAGAGACGATAAGGGAGTTAGTCTTTGATTCTAATCATGCTGTCAAGAAAAATAAAACCTCACATCCCCTTTTCTTCTCATTGCTCAAATCCCCTCACTTCTGTTGATATGCATTTTGACAGAGCAGCAATTCAAATTATTGCACTGTCTAACTCGCTGCACGTCTGGATGAGACTGTCAACTCGAATGCCTGAAAATGTAAAATGTAAGCGTCTCCATTACTTTTCAAATTATGTTGATTTTATTTTTGTACCATTTTATTTGTGCATCCTCCAAGGATTCGGGAATAACAGGACAGAGATTGAACGCCCCAGCATTATCATACCATCTTTGTTATTCATATCCATCTTTTCACAGCCGTCTAATCCACATGCATATTCAGTGTGCCGCAGACAATCAGAGGTTCAGAGCTGACAATGTGCTCATGTCCGCAGGGAGGTGTTTCCTTCCTCTGCTGTTTGTTGACAGTGGCTTGATGAAAATGAGGATTGCACAAAATAACATCACAGAGCATCAAGCATAAATATTGTTGAGATGTTGTTGCATTGATGCATGACTGTCATATCGCCTTTTAATCACGGTAGATGCCAGATTCCTGTAAAAACTTTCCTAATGCAGAAAGAAACAATAAAAAACTGTCAGACTCACTGAATGAACAAAGGCAGCTGCTCAGATCTCTGCCCAATAGTTTTTTTAATTTGCGAATTATGCCTTTGTTTAAAACAATTCAATAATTAGATTTCTCGTCTTTCTAATAAACATTTTGTAATTTTCTGAATGAGTCAAACAGTTTCATGTGGCTTTCGTTTCATCATTCGAGAAACAGAAGTAGTGATTTCATCTTTATTAAAGCTGCAGGTTGTCTCATGATTTCATCATTTTAAAAGAATCACATTAACATGATAAAGAAGGTTTGAGGTTCGGTTTTGTTTCTTTGTATCTGTTTCTTCTCCTTCTCTTGTTCGTCAAACTAGAATCATTTTTTTAATCCAAAATAAGCAAAAAAAGACGCTCCGAACCTAAAATACTGCTTTTTTTTATTCAGAGGAAAGCAGTTATAAATATAGAGAGCCTCCCCAGGTCCAGATTGGTTTGGGACTGAGGAGACAGGGCAATGTGTATAAGAGTGATGGATGAGGATTGTTGCAGTTATTAAGTATTAATTAAAAAGGTATTATTTATTCTTTTAGTTGGATATTGTTGTTATTATTATTATTTAGCAGTTCTAATATTTTAAATGCATTCTCTTCATGTCCTTTTATTGTGAAATGTCTGTAATAAAGGTGCAGCATCCTTATCCATATTGTGCTTTCCTTATGAGCTCTGCATTTTAACATTCGGTTAAACAGACATGAAGACCCTGTTTCGACATGTGTTGGTTAAATGAGCAGACTCCTGCAATAAACCAGCTCTTATTGCTGCCGCTTTCATGTTTCACCTGTCATGTAACTTAAGCCTTATTTAATTTACTTCTCTCCCTACAAAAGTTCCCATTATTATTATTAATTACTATCTGTGAGAAAGTGACACTTGTGACACGTGTAAAACTGCCCAACAAATCCTTTTTAATTAACACAGTACAAATACAGCATTTAGATAGTTAGTTCACAATAAAAGCTAATTCTATACACTGTTAAACATATATATTAAGAGACTAATTAAACTAAGACAATTATTAAAAATGTTCTGTCAAAAATGTCATGCTTAGGTGATAATTCAGTTATTTGAATTAAGGTACAATTAAATCATCCCTTCCCCCAGACACGTTTTCCGAGGCTAAAACCACCAGAGCCCAGTGTGTGGACCTCATTTCCTGTGAGGCTGCCCTCTCTGCCTGTCACCGTTCATCTAAATACACCATCATATCAGCTTGCAGGTCTCTTTAATGACTCAGCTCCCCGCCTTCATAATCAGTCATTTTCAGTGCAAGAACTACAATCTCCACATCAGCGATGTTTCTTTGCCAGGGTGGCACAGTGACAGCGGCCGCATGTTTTCAGCCACTCTCACATGTGTGCACACAAACATGCACTTTACTCTCCTCCACTGGTCAGCTGTGAGTGGTGTCAGTGATAATATGAACGTATATGAATGAGTGGCAGAAAGAAAGTGATAATCATCAACACCCTATCGACTGGAGTAGACCCAACTATGATTTGCATGAGGCCTGGGAAAACAAACTAATCAGCATTCTGTGGCTTAATGGAAACACTCATGTGTATAAATGTATTTATCCAGAAACATCACAGAAACTGTGGTGCAACAGGCAGATTATTGTTGACAAAATCACTATGCAAGCAAATGTGTATGAGAGCAGCAGTAGAAAGCAGACCAACAGAGGGAGGGAACAACTGAATTGGGTTTAGATTAAAGCAAACAAACCCAATCGAGAAACAGTCACAGTTTCTGGTGCACCTGCACAAATGTTGTTTGTGCTCAGTCTGGATCTCCCAAAACATCTGGCAAATCCAAGCTCAATTTCCTGTGCCTCAGCTCCCATTACCATCAAAATTGCTGGGGTTCTCTGTGTATTTAGTATTTTAAAACTCTTTGTCTGGAAAAAGCATCCAGAAGCAGCACCACTCGTGTTCTCTTATCGCTAACTGCTCCCACCTGCCTGCCTACCTTCATAAGTAGTTGGCAACCCAGTGACCAATAATAAAGTCCTGCACCATAGGGTTCCAGTGGTGTTGGTTACATTTGGCAGACCTGCATCCTCCTTTCCACCAGAAGCAGATGATGCAGCACCAAAAGATATGCGACAGCAGCAGAGAAGTTTCACCAAAGCCAAATTCAGAGATGTTATTTTCTGCCCTGCTGTTGTGAGAAAACACTGTTTTCTGGTTACAGAACTCATACTGAGCAGGAAAATCTCAGTGTAATTCCAATGTAACACTTAAGCTGCAGGACTGTCATGTATATAAAAGGCTATGTGTGGATGTGTCTCAATGTGTCTAAACTGTATATGTACATATAGTTTGCTGCATAAAACCTTTAAAAAACGTCACAATGACATGCAAAAAACAACCTCTGTACGTTTCTGTATGTGTCTCACTGATTGTTATGCTCACTGATTTAAATTTTGACATTTAGGATGAAGTTCCCTTTAGCGTTTAATCATATTTTACTTTTCCAAAACAAAGCAATAAAGCCCATGTCAGACCCTCTGCTACATCTCCTCATTTCCCCGGCTTAATTGAAACCAGTGTGTGTGTGTATTGCCTATTTCATTTCCAAACCATAATAAACAAATCATTTACAAATGCTCTTTACCCTGAAGCTAATTGAAAGACGCCAGCTTTCCTTCTTTTATCCTATCACATAGAGTTTTCCCTGGGAGTCTGATAGTATTAGCAAAAGTAAAGTCATCTGCAGCTTTTATTTGCTCTGTCCCCTCACGCGTTCGGTCACATAGATTAAACTTCAGAAGCCGCCTTTTGGCAATCAAATCTATCATAGGGCAGCAGAGAGTGCTCCGTCAGAGCTGTTCCCAAAACTACAATTTAAATGAAGAAAACTTTGAAACTTTGACAACCCGCAGCCAGTTATTGTGCAATTTGGGACTGGGAAAAAAAAAGTTTCCTCCCATCATATTTCCTGGTTTGTTTTTCTTTCTCCTTGGATGAACAAGAGCCTTTCATTTACTATTCTCTCTCTTTCTTTTTACAGACACATAGAGAACTGGACAGGATTGCAGACTCTGAGAGACGTCGATATGGAGCTCTACACTGGACTGCAGAGACTGTGAGTGTTGATGCTGTTATCTGGTGGGAAGCGAGGGGAAGGCCAGTCACTGACACTTCACTGTTTCTCAGTCCTACCCTGTTTCAGATCTGGGGGAGTACAATGGAACCTGTACCGCTGTTAATCCCTGTTTTCCATCAAGTTGCCCGTCTGCTTGCTGCAGAGAGGCCAATGGTTCCCTCTGTAAAATGAGTGCAGATACTCGAGTGGCTGCAGCTGCAGCATCACCAGCAACGTTTTGGGATTTAATGTCCGATACGTCTCTGAATATGACTCAATCCAGGCTAAGTCTCAGAGGAAGCGACAAGTTGTTAGTCGGATTGTGGGGAGAGAAGATGGAGTGAGAGGCGTGTTTTTACTGATCCTAACGCAAGCTGATGTTTAAACAAGCTTTTAATTCTTTAAAGTCACACGCTGGTGGAAAATCCCCTTTGCTTTGCTCAGCCACTGATCAAATAATACTAAAAAACAGCAGGGAAAATTGAATTAGTGGCCCCTGCTGTAGAATTGTGACTTTTTTTCATTCTCATCTCTTCACTCCTTGAAGCAATGTTACGCTCCTTTCCTGCTTTACTACCCTGCACTGTGAGGCCACATCCTTTACATCCCTCTGCCTGTGGCGCTCCTCCCTCAGCTGCTCCGACCTCCTCTTCCTCTTTGCTTTTTTCTCTCTGCAGAAAACTGTATTCTCTGTTGCCCTCCAAAGCTGGCCTCTCCCCTGATCCCCTTGATCCCTCATCAGGGAAGCCAAGTGCAGTATCTCCACCACTAAATTAGCATTTTTCTCATTACCACTGCCTTGACTGGGGACGCCAGCTTCCCACCTGAAGTTGGGGTTTCCCAGGAATTGCTGTTACCTTATGTGATGGTGTCTTGTGGGGCTGTAAGCAGTCCAGAGAGATGAGAAAAAGTGACTCTACGACATTTACATTACAGTTTACCTCCCTTATTTAAATTGAAATAAAATTGAAATAATTATTTAATAATTCATCTGAAAACTTTAATAGTACTCAATAGAGTGCATACCTCCACCAGTCCCCTAAAATTCAATCAAGCTGCATCCAATTGCACATAATCATACTAGTCCCTATATATACGCCTCATAATTCATCAGAATACTTGAATTATTTCCTGGGACATTAATGAAAATGTCAAAAAACACCCTAGTCTGTAATGTTAAAGGAAGTGTAAAATTCCGCCTCTTTGTTCAGATCTGCGGAAAAATTTAATGGGTTCTTTTTTGGCCCATGTCCCGTTCTTCCACAAAGTTTTGTGGAAATCCATTTTGTAGTTTTCTTGCTGACAAACAAACAGCTCAACCAACCGCAACGGACAGGGGTGAAAAAATAACCTTTGGCAGAGTTAAAAAAATACTTATTATATAACTGACTGGCTGCATCCCTCACCTGTTTATTGTCATAATTATTTTTAACAGGCGTAATAATCTCCTTTTACAACTGGGAGCTGTAGTTTTTGGCAAACATACTCAAATAGAGACAACACAGAGTAAAAATAGTGCATTCGCTGGGGACTATTTTCAGCTGTGGATTAATACACTTTAAGTGGACTACTAAACTATTACAGCAGTGTGGGATGCTGTATGTGGGATTAAATCTAAATAAACTATGATGTGTGTGTTCATGGTGATCAGGGAACATGTCAGCCAGTGCAGCAGTGTGCCTCAGTGATTTCGTTTTAATGACAGACTGTGGCACAGAGGAATAAGGAACAGTGGGTCAGGCATTGGCTACACACACAGACACACACAGGAAGCTGTCGGATCAGTTCACTGCCAGTTTTGGTCTGTTAAGGGGTTTTATTTTATTTTTTATATTTATAAAATAAATACAGAATTTATATCCCTGTTAACATATGTGATGAAAGTGTGTGTTTCTTTAAAATAGAAGGCAGTTGGCATCAATCATAATTTTGACATTAAGTAGATTGTGTTTCATGTGGTGGACATCGGAAGCCCCCTTAATAAAAAAAGATTTGTTGAAATGCTGCAGCTTTTCAGTTGGTTCTTTGTATTGAAAACAAAATAACAAAAGGATTTCTTTAAACAGTGTCGTTCCTACTTTCAGCCAAATGTATTTTTGGTTTAAACTCCAATTTTCATAGACTTCATATATAATACAGCAAAAATCCAATCACCGCTGTTTGCAGAGATGATTGTGTTCAGTATACTGTAATTGTCATTACTACTGAGAGGATGACAGAGTAACCAAAGCTTTTATATTGTCGTCCTAATTTCTAGGCAGCAAAATAATGGTAAAATTTTTGGGCAATCTTTTCAAGGACCCTTGACGATCCCAGAGCCCCACTTTGGGAACTTTTATGTGATGAAACACCAGGTCGCTGTCAAACACCACAGAAGTGTGATCAGGCTTCTAGACGTTAATTGGCACCAACAGCTGGGTATAATCAGCACACTGCGTTATGAGGCGCTCACTGATGATGTCAATGACTTCTTTGGAGGGAGACATCTGTGATTACAAGATTAGAAGTCATTACCATTGTTGCCCAGAACAGTGGTTTCCAAACTGGGTTGCAAGGGATTCTCCTTGGGAGGATTCCATGCAGGGTCCCCAGAATAAATTTTAACCTCTTGGTTATTTTGCTCAATAAAAGTTAACACAATGGGGGAATGTGTTGAAATGCATGCTCTAATTTCACTTGCTTTACAGTAAAGACGTGCATGTTCACAAGGCTTTCATCACACGGTGGTTCAAAGTGTGGCTCCATTTCAGTGTCAGCTCTGCAGGGTGTAGAGACGCAAATTAAGAATTAGAGCAGACAGATAATTAGAGCTGTTATGGACATGAAGATATAAAAATGCCTTGAAATAGACTAGTAAGGCAGTATAATTATCTAATTTTTTAGTTCATTTGCATATTTAGCCCAAACAAAATTTGAAAAAAACTTGTGTGTGGAAAAGACAAAATAAATAAATATAAATAAGGAGCAGAGAGGCAATAGCAAAATGAAATGTAGAAAAATGAAGTGACATAGAAAATAGTTCAACATGGTCTTTATGCAGTTATATGATCATCTGAATGTGATACTATGTGCATGTATTTGTATAGGAAGGAAATAAATGAAATAAATGACTCAGTTTTGTTGCTTTCTGTACCATTTCATCTGTATTTTATCTTTCATCACTTCAGAACTATCATGAATTGCAACCTGAGGGTGATCCAGGCTCGAGCGTTCGCTCAGAACCCACACCTACGCTACATGTGAGTAAACATTTCTATCTTTGACAACCATGTTTCCTGTGCCTTCAAAATATTTATCATAATCTGGAATGCCTGACAGCTTGTAGTATATGGCTGCAGATAACTTAGTGTTGAGCAGAAGATGATGCAGTTGATAGAGACTAACTTCGGGGAAATTGTGATGTCGCATTACTGTCGCAACAGCGGCGCATCTTAAATGAGACATCCTTTATTTGCCTTGGATAATTGGATTCCTATTTCCCGGTTCTTTGTGCTTCCGTAGAGCAACATCCAAAAGACGCAGTTCCATTTAGTCTGCTCTTCCAAAATGGACAATTTGTCCAGGAGACCTAGCATCAGAGAGCTGGGCGAAGAGCAAAGTAATTTCTTTAACAAAGGCTGATGTCTCACTGTATGACAGCCTGTTATTCCCCAATTTTCTGGGAGTAAACATGGCGAGGAACTCAGTCACAGTCTTCCACCTGAACACTCTGCCATTTGCAATTTCCAGTTGTAGTCTGAGTGACAGTATGGTCTCTTTTACTCTGCAAATGACTGCTCTTAGGCCTAAATGTGCACTTTGCACTGTTTGTGGGTGGGTGGGTGGGGGAGGGGGTTGGTAGTACTTCATAATATGAATGGTATAGTCGTGTGCAGTATTGGTTCTCTTAATCTTGTCTGTGAATGAAAAGGAATAAAAACTTTTGCATCGGATGCTAACTTTTGGGCCGTCTCTCTTACCAAATATAAAGTGATGAGCCACTGGTTTTAACGTTGTGGCTGATTGGTGTAATTGCTTTGCAGATTAAAAAAAATGTGCTTAAGATATAAGAAACTGTCAAATGAGAAGGTGATGATGCCCTTTTCTCTTTTGTTCTAAGCTGTGGTTTAAGGCTAAATCAGAGGGTGAAATTCAAACCCAGTTGGTGATAAATGAAACATTAAATATTTGCATTGAAGTGTTAATTTAAGCTTTCCTCACTTTGAAGATACCATACTATATTAACTGACATTCCCTTTTGGATTCAGGCTAAAACTCTGGTTTACTAATAAAAATCCATTGAGTTTCAGTGGATTTCGCCAGCGACAGCTCTTCCCCAGACAGGCCCTTTTTTTTCAGGCGTTAATGCAGGTGAATGGTTGCTAGGTGACCTGAGGATGATGATGTCAAAAATGATTCATTATTATGCCTAAGCTCAGCCTCAGAAGGCCGACCTCCTTGATGTCCGTGTCAGAAGGTTCTGCTGAATCTAAGCCATTCTCTCTATCATATGTTTAGGCCATCAGAGGCTAAATCACACAATAGCAGCTGTTATTCTCTACCTACAATTAGTATCCTTCTACTTGGTGTTGAATGTATTTTCTCAGGTATCGTTTTGTATGTATCACAGTACATATTGTATTACGTACCTTGACCTAACAATTACCTCTCTGTGAATCCCTCTGAACTGTGATCATCCATTACGTACCGATTACACAGTTCTGTACGACATCACGTTGAGGCTGCAAACGTTTGTCCAGCTAACTAGATTAATGCCTTTAGAAATCGAGCCTTATCTCTGAGGCCAGCAGCATTTTGTACTACTTTATTTTGCAGAATGTATGTAGCAATCAATATTTACAGGATTTTCAACAGAATGATGGAGCTAAAGTTAGCTTAATTACATTGCTAGCAACAGCTGATAAAATATGATAGCAACCAAAATCCACAGTTGCTGGTTTGAAATTAAATTGCTATTGCCATGGATGTCAGACCTGTTCACGAGATGAATGCGTTTTAACAGGACCCCTTTTGTAGTATTCACAATCTCAGACTTTTACTTTTTATAAAAACTCAGAGTTTGCGAATTCACAAATTCTAATTGAAGATAGAACTGATACCAACACAATGGCCAATCAGAAGAATGCCAAAAACCCAACCAATACCCTCAATGTGAGGCAGGTGGGTGCAATCCATCACATCTTGTTTGTGTGTATGTGGGTGGTGTACTGTGTTTCCGTCATAAGTTACCTTTGAGGACAATTTGAGGTTACCTAATTAATTGGTGATAAAAACTTAGTTGAAAACAACCATTGTTTCAAAAGGGCCATATGTGGGAACAGAGCCCTACACCTGATTTTCTTATCAGTTATTGAGCGGTATCACCCTATTAAAACATCCAAAACCAAAGAAAGCATTGACATTAAAAGTTCAAAAATCATTTTAGTTCTTTCTCAATGTAAAATAACACAATTCTCTGTTGAAAGCAACAACAGACTAGCAAATAAACAGAGTACAGCTCACAAGCTCCAACAGAATTGAAACATCTGCCTGGTTCATTAGAAAAGAGCTCAGCTATATTTAATATCCTTTTTTGTTGCCTTGTTTATTTTCCAAGCAGCTCTTGTCAAAGCATCAGAGCTGTTATTATGAGGTGACCTCTGTGGGGGCTGGCTGTATTTTATTTGAGCCCAAAATAAACCTAATTAAAGGGTAGCAGAGCCTTAGAGAGTGCTTCAGTCTGATCAGCAGGATATTGGTACATAAAGGAGATGCAGAGATTGAATCCACGCGGCAGCTGGTATGTTCAATATCCCAATATACTGCTGATTCTCGAACAAAACGCACAACTGCCGTGGTTCTGCTGAGTCGAATATAAACTGACATCACGGTGAATCTAAATGGGATTTACTCTCCAGCATTAAATCTGTGTAACATGCACTCATGACACAAATATTTGGACAACCCTCAGAATTAATATACTTGTGAGAAGCAAACAGGAAATCAACAAACTGTGATTTACAATTTAAACATTTGTCAGTCAGCGTTACAGAAAAGTGACGCAGCTGGAGGTCATACATGATGATGATGGACGGTTGTGATGTGACTGCGTAGGATTTTGTCAGGAAAATAACAGTTATTATCTACATTTATCACTGCCTTGTGATTTCCATCTACATCCCTAAAATCATAAAAATCCATCTTGTCATAAATAGAAAAAAGAAGCTGTCTTTGGGATTCATTGCTTCTCTGACTTCATGAATTATCTCCCACCGTGATCCCCAATACTGTACACTGCTGTCATGTACTTAATGTACCTTTGCAAACTCTGGGAAACTGTTTTATATTTTTTTTGGGGGGGGGGGTTGCTTTGATTCCGTAGGGTAAGAAAAATGTGTTTGCTAACGTTAACCTTTAAATATGAAATCTTGTCTTAACTCTGCTAGTAAGTTTTCTCATAATAATTGTAATCTAAGAGGGGTATCTGTGGGGTATCTGCTTTAAAAAAGACCACTCATCAAGTAAATATATTACCTTGTTTGTCTCCCTGGCAACTGAGACTCTGCAGCAAATCCCAACGCAGTGGCTGGAGAAACTGATGAAACAGCCTTGAACCTCTTAAGTACCATAAGGGGACACTGAAGGAACAATCAGTAATATTTTGCACTGCTGCTGCAGAAAATGACCCCACTCCGTGCCAGTAAGACCACAGTTAGATCATTGGCTGCTGTGATTTCAGGACTTGTCCGTACACTCCATGATTCATTTCATGCACTGAAACATCTCTGCTCCTCGGACAATCATTAGTGCGAGCCCCCAAACCAATGCTCAGTTTTATTTGCACGTGTGTGCAAGAACATGCAGCTGTCAGACATCAAGGAGAAATTGTTCCCTTGGGGGTTTTTAATTTCAGACCACAGATCACAATAAAATTATCCACACTAGATATTTGGTTGTAGAAAAAAATAGTTTGGCAAAGTTGTAGTTTTTATAAAAATGTATATTGGTCCCTATGGCCATATTATTGATATGTCACATTATAAAAGTGAATGGTGGAGATAGAGCGGGGGAATGCAGCAAAGGGCCGGTTTATAACCAAACCTACAGAGAACTCACGCATCAGTACATGAGCTGTTAATACACTGGAACTTGCTGGCCGTGCTGATCCGAATGGTTTCGGACCAGAAGGGACAAACATAATCAACTAATTTCTGTGTAACTGAGTGTGTGTAGATCTCATTAATGTGTCTGTGTAGCATCTTTGATGAAAAGCAGCAGTTGTGTTTGCAACTGCTGTCTTAATCTAATTTTAATGTAGTTCTAATCAAAAAGCTTTACCTCTTTTTCTACATGATAGAAAAGAAATGTGATTGTATGGTGTCGCTCATTAGGCGATTTAAGGTGATGACACAAACATGAACAGATTGCTTTTAATCATGTGAACCTAAATAAGTATTGCTGTTTTCAACTAAAACCCAAATGAACTTGCTCAACACCACTGACTACCTGGTTCTTGCTGTCTATTAAAAAGAAAGTAAAACACTCTTAATACTTAATATTTTGTTGAATTAATCAGTAACTACTCTCCTTCAATTGTTGATATGGTTTTTCTGGCAGCCGGAGCTAAATTGTGATTGTCATTGTTTAATAAATTGACTATTTTTTCTGTTCAGCTGTGGGAGTCTTCCTCCTGAATGTGATGGTGGAGATATAAAGGACAAGGGCCCTTGTGAAATGGTTGTAGATAACAGTAATTATGTGAAAGCTTTAATCTTCTTCAGAAGGTTTTTTGCTGAGATTACACATGCACACACGCACACACACACACACACACACCTGCTGCCACTGAAGGGTTTATGCTCCACTTCTTGCATCTTGAATTGCAATAATTAACTAAATGACATCATATTTTGTATTGCATCCACAGAGACTGATTTTACATGAATTAATCGTGGCAGAATACAGGGCTCTGACAAAGTAAATAGCTTCATCCTTAACCTTCCAGTGTTATTTTCTTCCAACAGTATAACGTGCAACTTCTAAATGTTTCGAGTACATTATTTTATTTTCAGTTCTTATGTGTGCTTGTATCGAGTGGAAGGAAAAACAAAAGGCCCAAAACATTAAGCAGCTGTCAACATAAAGCTCATTTTACTGTGTTACTGTGATACTTGCAGATATGTAGCTTATTTAACAGGTAATAAACATGATTCTACCTGCTGTTTTTACATTGACCCTAAATAGAGTGGATACCTCAGCC